ACACAGATGTTTACATTACATGTGCATAAGGAATATCCTTGTTGACACAACACAGGAAAAGCGGCTTAGGGCTTTATGGAATGTGTAGACTAATGAGGAAGACAGGTAAGTGGACAGCTAACCTGCAGTGAATAACTAAGTCATACAAGACACTAGGAGTTGTCTAGGACTTCATTTTACTGGGATCCACAATCAGTGGTGATGGAAGCAGCAGTCGAGATCAAACAACACATTGCATTGGGTAAATCTGCTGCACAAGAGCTCTTTAACGTGTTGAAAAGCAAGGATGCTACTTTGAGGACTAAAGTGTGCCAAGCTAAGCCATGGTATTTTCAAAGACCTCAAGTGCACTTCCTTATTTAATAAGGAAGACCGAAGAAAACTTGGTGCATTTGAACTATGGTGTTGAAGAATATTGAAAGTACCATGGACTGCCAAAGAACACATCAGTCTTGGAAGAAGTACAGCCAGAATGATCCTCAGAGAGAAGGGTGGCGAGACTCCTTCTCGTGTACCTTGGACTTGTTGCCAGGAGAGGCCAGTCCTGGAAAAGGCTGTCACGCTTGGTAGAGTGGAGGGGGGGCAGAAAAGAGGAAAGGACTCAATGAGATGGACTGACAGCCGTGGCTGCAACAATGGGTTCAAACATAAGAACAATTACGGGCTGGCGCAGGACTGGGTGGTAATTTGTTCTGTTGTACAGGTCTTTATGTGTCAGAACCAACTCACCAGCAGTGGGTTTGTACAGAGGAGTCTTCAAGAGCTCGACTCATAGCCCACCATGCTACTGGGCTCCTTGAGTCCCTTAATAGCACAATGTTCCTATGACTGAAACATTTGCCACTGCTGTCTTAGGAGCCATAACCACTCCTTCCTCACAGAGCCAGCAGCCTCTCACCCTTTCTATTGCACTTCCACCTTGTTCTCTCTCACACACTCAGACACACACACACAGCTGCTGTTGGTAACTCATGACAACCCCCAGGTGTGCAAGAGCAGAACTGTACTTCACAGAGTTAACAATCACTGGGTTTCCAGAAGTAGATCACCAGGCCTTTCTTCAGAGGCACATCCCAGTGGAATCAAAACACCAAGCCTTCCTTTAGACACTGTGTGCATTCATCTTTGGTCACCCAGAGGCCTCTACCATGTTGAACTTCGATCCCCTGTCACCCTCTAGCTACATCATGCCATCTGCTAAGTGTACAGAGAAAGGGCATGGGAAGCAAGCAGACCTGAATGAGTTGTCTTTAAAAAAAAAACAATTTGGGGGTGGGGGGAGCTAATGTTTTAGGTGAAAGAGTGAATTGTCTTTGCTCTGTCAGTTGCCATAGTTCTGTGTGTTCTTATACAAGTTGCCTACTCTTTCTGAGCCTGTTTCCTCTGCAATAAAATACAGATAATGAGGCCTTGCTGTATTAGAAAAATTAAGTCAAAATAATGTATGGACACCACTTGGGATTCAAAAGACAGTTGATAGTGATGACGTGGTATGCAGCACTGGAGGAAGGAAGGGGTTAAGGCATGAGACAGACCTTGGCTTACATCTGGTTCTGTCCTTTATTAGCTGCTGCCACGAACTTGATGCCGACTCACAGAAACCCTGCTGGACAGCGGAACCGCCCTGTGGGTTTCTGAGACTATAACTCTATGAAATAGGAAGCCTCATCTTTCTACCACAGAGTGGCTGGTGGTTTTGAACTACTGACCTTGCAATTAGCAGCCCAACATGCAGCCACTATGCCACCAGGGCTCTTGATATAAGCTGCATTCCCTTTGAAAAGACATTTAAATATGCTGTTGGTTTGCTTTTGTTTAGGGTGTGGCGGATCCCTTTTTCACGAGCTACCTCAGGTACAGAGATGTGTACAGAAAAGATGCATTTATTATAAGGACATGACTACTGTAGTATTCGTATTACCTTCTGCTTGTGTGTCTCGCCCAGTGCTTGGGACAGAGTGGCTGTTTAGAGGAATGTTTGTCCAGTGAATGCATAGCACAATGTAAACAGAAGAGTGTGTGTCCTGAAGGTTCTTTTTCTCCAAACAAGTCACAGCATGCTGAAATTTCAAACACAAAGGATGGCACCAGATACGCAAGTTGCAGCAGGTGATGCAAGAAGTCTCCTTAGGAGTAACTGGTGATTTTTTTCTACTAAGCACAAAAGATAAACAGATCAAAGATTGGAGAGAGGTATACCATCTCTAAGGTCAGGGCACAGATTTGCCACATGCACCCACTCCAGGAGCACTGAGTTCCTGTTGTGTGTGAGGCCCTGGGCTGCTGGTCCCAGAAACAAACTTATTTTTTTTTAAAAAGAAGAAGAAAAGTCACATGTTGTCCGTGAGCTGAGCAGTAGGGCAGAGAATGGAAAACGCGTGGATCGTGACTAACTAGCTCAAACTCAAGCAACTTCGCCGCCACTGAGCTCATTCTGGCTCCCAGCAGCCCTGTAGGGCAGAGTGGAACTGTGGGATTCCGAGACTGTAAATCTTTCCGGGAGTAGCAAGCCTCGCCTTTCTCCTGCCAAGCAGCTGGTGATTTCAAACTGCTGACCTTGCAGTTCACAGTGCAAGGCATCACCCACCGGAATTACGAAGTCCTCCAAGTGGAGAGAGCTCTGGAGAAGCAGTAAAAAAAGCTCTGATGGCGGTAAAAGGAAAGGGCATTTTAAGCAGCAGAAACAGCAAGTACTGTGGACAAGATGCAGCAAGGCCTCTTAAAACAAAAACCCAGCTCACTCTGCCATCAAGCTGACTCTGGCTCACAGCCACCCTATACGACAGGGTAGAATTACCCCTTTGGTTTTCCAA